GTCCAACCCCCTGCTCAGGCAGGAAACCCTATACCATTTCGGACAAATGGCTGTCCAGTCTCTTCTTAAAAACTTCCAGTGTTGGAGCATTCACCGCTTCTGGAGGCAGGTTGTTCCACTGGTTAATTGTTCTAACTGTCAGGAAGTTTCTCCTTAGTTCTAGGTTGCTTCTCTCCTTGCTTAGTTTCCACCCGTTGCTCCTTGTCCTGCCTTCAGGCGCTTTGGAAAATAGCTTGACTCCCTCTTCTTTGTGGCAACTCCTGAGATTTTGGAACACTGCTATCATGTCCCCCCTCGTCCTTCTCTTCATTAAACTAGACATACCCAATTCCAGCAACCGTTCCTTATATGCTTTAGCCTCCAGTCCCCTAATCATCTTTATGCCATCTTATGCTACTTCAGTGGTCCAATCTCTTCTTGAAAACCTCCAGCAATTGAGCACCCACAACTTCAGAAGACAAGCCATTCCCCTGATTAAGTGTTCTCACTGTCAGGAAATTTCTCCTTAGTTCCATGTTGGATCTCTCTTTAATGAGCTTCACCTGTTACTTTTTTATTCTGCCCTCAGTGGCTTTGAAGAATACATTGTGACAGCCCCTCAAGTACTGCAAGACAGCTATCATGTCATCCTTAGTCCTTCTCTTTGTTAGACTAGACATAGTACGTAGTGTCCACAGCTCTCCATCATGCTGTTTATCCTCATCCTTAGCATCCTTGCAGTTGCTCCAAAGAAAGCAATAAAGCATCTTTGTTGCTCTTCTCTACTCTTTCTAGGTTCTCAGCATCCCCTTTTGTATTCTGGTGACTAGAACTGGACACAGAATTCCAAATGTGGCCTCACTCGTGTAGTATAATGTGGTATACCCCTTCACGTGATCTTGATACTATCCCTCTGTTGACGCAGCCCAGAATTGCATTAGATTTTTTTTTTTTTTGGCAGGTGCAGTACACTGCTGGCCCATACTTAAGTATGGTCTTCCAGGACTTCTAGATCAGGGCTTTTCAATCTTTTCACCCATTGTACCACTTTTAGGATATGGTAGTATCCGAGTACCACCAGTCGCCTAGCAAGGTGTCAAAAACTTGATGACCCCAACAAAAAAAAAAAAGGGAAAAAGTGATAAAGTACAGGTATTCCTCGACTTACAACAGTTCGCTTAGTGACTGTTTGAAGTTACAATGGCACTGAAAGAAGTGCCCCCCAAGCCACAGCCGAGCAAGACACCTGCCTGCCCACCCGGTGGTGCTCTTCCTCCTGTCTGAGGTTTTCATTGTTGTGAGCATTTCTGTTGAGGATTGGCAGCGGGGGTGGGCTGGGGGGGTGTTTGGTTTTTATTCCCCCTCGTCTGCTGGGTGGTTGCAGCAGGTTTTGGTCACTTCACATGACCCTGGGACACTGTGACCGTCATAAATATGAATCAGTTGCCAAGCATCTGAATGTAAATCACAAGACCCTGGAGATGCTGCAACATTCCAGCTGATCGGCGCTTCTTCTGGGCTCAGTGGAAGCGCCAGGATCAGCGCCGAGCTCCAGCTGGAGCCTGGCACTGATCCTGGCGCTTCCACTGAGCCCTGACAGCCCTGCAGCTCCAGCCGTCTCTCGCTCAGGCTTGTGCGGTGCTGCCACCAGTTCAGCTCATTCCCCTCCCCGGCTACCACTTTTCTAGGATGGTCGCGTACCACCTGCCAGGTGCCAATGTACCACAGGTGGTACCCGTACCACTGGTTGAAAAGCCCTGTTCTAGATCCCTCTCACAGGCACTACTGTTGAGCCAGGTGCTGCCTATTCTATACTTGTGCATTTGTTTTTTCTTGCCTAAGTGTGTAGCACCTTCCTTTTTTTCACCACTAAAT